AGTTTTGCTATGCTGGAATTAACTCGGTAGCACCTCCACACTGACTTATGAAGAAAAGCTAATCTCAATTTATGGCATACTAGAGTGCTTTCCGCCGTGTAACAGTGGACCACATCTCTTCCACTGGAATGCAAAACATTTCTAATGCCTTCCACATTTTCACATTTATTGAGTTTTTCTCTTGACTAAGTCTGACCCTTGGGTTTGCCTGCATTAGGTGTTGCACTGTTCAGCTAGCTTGGCAGAACAGACTAACAAGCTTCAGCCCACCTTCAGACTGGGAGCCCTGCCTCCTGAGCTCTGGCAGATAAAGCTTTGGCAATTTAGAATGTTGCTGCCCCAACGCTACCGATCTGCTGGATGTTCCTGCCCTGGTGCGGAAGCGGCAGGCGTGGATGGGCGCGATGCCTTGGCTGCCCTTGGCGTGGTACCGGGCATCAGCCAGGCGCGGGATCAGCTCTCAGGCGGGCGCTGGCACAAGCTGTGCCTGCTGGGGAGACAGCCTCCTGCTACGAGGAGGGACAGGCAGCTGGGTGGTTTGTTTCAGACTACCATGGCTGAAACTCCCCCAGGCCCAGGAGTCGGAGCTGTCTGATCACTCCTGTTCATTAAACCTCACAGGGCTTTTAACCATGAGGGTACAGGGGCACCACAGAGCACCAGGGAGGCTTCTGAAGCCAGAGCACAGTGCAGTTACCAAATTTGAGCTGTATGTTCCCTACAACAGGCAAAATCTTGGCTAGAGCCTCATAGCGCTCACACATGCTACTCGAGCAGTCTGATCAGAGCATCTCAGTGTTCTGGTTAACACAGGCAGCTCTTGATTGTCAACTCCATCACAGCTCACAGACCCACCTGAAAGCAGTGCTGTTTGTCTCTCAGCACTTGGAGAAACGTGGATGCCTGCTTTGGGACACGTTGTTGTGCTTCTGTGGCATATCTGAGTTTCAAAAGCACTTGCGAAGTGAAGGAAAAGACTCCAACACACTGATGCAAAAACCTCAGCATCTTTTACACCTTATTTTTGTTACAGAGCTTTTTACAACCAACCCAAACCATAGCAGATCACAGATAATGTCATTCAAACTTTCATACATGCTACAGTAATTTAAACCTTCTGCTTTAGAGCAGGGAAGAACAGAGGAGAATTCACAAAGCTGAAGGAGAATTCACCATTCAAAGAGGTGTTTAGCATTTCTCTCGAAGAAAATACGAAGTTACAGATCCACTAGATGGCAACTGGATGTACATACACAGCCACACCGGACACGTTAACATGATGGTGTTATCCTGTCTTTGTGATGTGTCAGGCCTAGACCCATTCAGCAGCAACTTGTCCCTCTCTGCTCAAGCACTCCGCACTTTGTATCTCTTTTTTTTTTTCTTGCTGCAGTTACTGGACAGCTTTGGAAGTGTGATTTTAGCATGCAGCATTCAGCTGTGTAAAGGCAGCTGGTCAGGGATTCTCTAGTTTTTAAACTCAGTCACCTATAAAATATTGATGTTTATTTGTCTGTTGTTTTTTTTTTTTTTTTTAATGCTGTAAGAGGCAGGGTGGTCCTGGGATCAACTCACGTGCTTGTGCTCCTAAAATGTGGAACCAGGTATCATTTGTACCATAGCCTTCCTCATGAAATTGTGTTCAAAACGTAGCATGCATTCTTTGCATCTTGGATTTTTGCAGCTGCTGTAATTATTTCTACCTCATTTTATGTTGTCTGGGAAATTCAGATTTCAAGTTCTTCAGAGCAGGCCTGGGTTTTTTTAAGCTGCTTATATTTTGCTTAGAACAGGGACCCTTGCATATCTGTACAGACCTGTATGACCTGAATTAAGAGTAACTACCAAATAAGAACAATTTGAGGAAATGTGCTTTTTCTAACTTTTCAGGCCTTTTCTCTAACACTGATAAAGACATTTTTCTGAGCAACATGAGCACGAACGAAACAGAACAGCCTAAGGAAAAGGCCTTATATTAGAGCCCATTCATCACTCTCCCCCTGCTTCCCAACCCAGCCTCCAAAAAAATGCAGGAATTTGGGATGAAAAAGTGCAAGGAACAGGGTAAGCAGTGAAAACTCCTGAAAGCATAAAATGAATTGGCAGGCAAACCAGTCAGATTTTAGGATGGACATCTCACATATGCTAGATAGTCTACGAATGAAGCACCCCCTCACTTGGTCAGGAGGCAGAGCCCTCAGACATTTGCTCAGTCATCAGCTGACTCATGTCTCCCCTGCAGTAGCATCGTGTGTTCAGTCTTCTGGGACAAACCAAACTATTTGTCCTTTCCCAAAAAGCAACCAACAGCTTATTTCAAGCTCTCTTCATATGCTGTAATTCTGTCTTTCACAGGAGCTCCCTCATTCCTACTGAAACTAATACTCTACAGAATCCTCTAATTTTGGACACCCTGTACCCTTCTGCACAGGGAAAATAATTCCCTGACTAAAACACCTTGAGGCGATGAGACAAGTTTTTTAATGTCTTCAGGTGGAATGGGACAATGTGAAGGACATGCTGTTTCTTTGCTGCTTTTATGCTAACTTCTTCTGAGTCAGGCTCTATATGATTAGGTCTGCGAAGCTGGGATCACTTCAGTATAGAGACAACGGATGCCTCAGAATTCAGTTACACAGCTGCAAGCCTGGGACTTTGGAAGAGGCTATGAGTGTGGCAGTGAAACTGGACTAGATAAGCTATGCAACTCCAAGCTTGTGCTTTAAAGTTCAGGGACTTACATGACTCCTATGACTGTAGTCTTTGCACATCCTAGCAGGTAGCAACAGAATAACAATTTCTTTTGGTCCTTAGGTTGCAGTTTCAGTAGGGTCCTCCGAGTACTGCATTCTCTACACACATTGCTCTATCAGTTCATTAATTATGTGCACGCTAGAAAAACTTCCAAGGGAGAGGAGAAGAGAAGGAATAAATTCCACATTTGGGTCTTTCAATGCAAGACTGAGTGCAGGTGCCATGCAGACATATTCGACATCCCGTTCTCTCTGCCTCCAGAAAATGTAACGCATTACATTACCAGTTGGCACATGCTCACTAAAGCCTGGGTTTGTGCTCACTCTTAGCTCTCACACGTTAGAGCTGTAACTGATCACCAGGTTTGCCAGGAATCCTGCTTCTTTGGCTCACCCTCTTATCAGGCATTCATATTTCTCTCTCGCAGCTGCCGTAGGAGGTTATGGTTACGAAAAGAAGCCACTTCTTTCTGGAAGCTGGGCTGCTGGTGTCTGTCTGGAGCCGTGATGTTGTACTTTGTGTGCAGTGAGAGGTGCTACAGAGAGCAGAGCCCTGGTGTGGCAGGCTCCATCTTCTCACAGAAGATCACAGATCTTGCTGCTGGACAGAAACCAGCAGACCCACAGGGGTGTGTGGAAGAATTGGTCCACTTCCTGAACAGTTTTGGGAAGCCCCACACTGACCACAACTCCAAAGACACTCTCTGGGATCTCCAGACACCCTCCTGCCTCTTGCAGGCTTTGTTCCTGTGCTACCTGTTAATTCTGTGCTGTTTCTTTGCACTTCTAGTTATTCTTCTGTTCCTTCATCTTCTCAAATACTTGGCTCACCAGACTGAACTATGGCATGGTGTCAGTTCTGTGGCACACATTGTCCTCCACTCACACTTCCCCAGCCTGTCACCCCACTTCTACTCAAAAGAGCTTAAGCGAGACACAGCTTTGTAAGCAAAGCCCTGGGCTCACCTGCCCTGATGCTCACGAGGAGCAGCTGTGTCCAAGCCATTCCGGTGCAGGCTTGTGTCCTCTCTCCAAGTTCAGAGCTTTTGCTCGCGAACCCCTCAAATCAAAGATCTTGTCTTTGCTGCACAATTACATTCACGGTGCCACCTGGGGGAGCTTGTGCTGTGTGACTAAAGCTCAAGATCCAGCGAAAAGGACAGCTCCGCAGCACTAATGACTTCAGCCGCTGGAAACTCTGTTCTGGAAAGGCTGGTTGAAAATCATGACATATGCATACATAGTGCGGACACACTTCAATAAAGATGTTCCGTTTCAAAATGATCTTAGGTGACAGTCATTGATTTTACCTTGAAAAAGCAGTCAGACCCAGAACTCATAAACCGTAACTCATAAACCCTAGCAACATCCAGATGTCCTTAGCCTGGTAGATCGAATAAAATGAAAACAACTATATTTTACAGGGTTGCGCAAAGAAAATCAGTAATAGGGATCAGTTCCAGCCATACACTCAGACAAGTTACATACACAACAACCAGCCTGGAGTTAACTTCACTCGTTGCTGAGCCATGTCTGGCCACAAAGCCAACTTGACAGCTGAAGTACAAGCAGGTGAACAAGCAATCCAGAAGTCAGGGAACCATATCTGGCCAATACATGGACCCGAAGTCTGTTTGGAAACACTGAACATCACGACCATGCCTTAGAGACAAAACCAGAGTTAAAACTCACCTCCTAAGTCATTCAGAAAATAAGCGATATGGTAGCCTGAGGATATGAAAAATGTAAGTTTTGGGGTGTGGTTTTTTTCCCTAAGACCAAAGAAATAGCCCGAAAGCAGTTGGTAAGTATGAAGAAGGTAACTGACGTTCTGGACTGGCCCTCTGGACAGGGAAGGCAGGTGGAGACCACCCAGCCATGAGCTGCAAACTCCGACCACCCCGCAC